ATTCACAATAAACCATCATCATAATTCACAATAAATCATCATCACAGGTATAATAAACCATCATCACAAGTCACAACTAAGTCACAATAAGCCACAAATACAAATGCAATCACTGCGGAGGCCCTTGGAACCACTGCGACAAATCCGGGTCTTGAGGCTCATTATTTGATGCCGCCGATTGATTCTGCATAAAAGAGAAGAGATTACATGTGTGAGCTGCAGATATAAAAAACTCACTGCAATCTGACTATAGAGTAGCAGTAACAGATAAACTAGGGGAGCACTATGTTAAGTTTGAATCCAGTGATTTCTCTGTTGCTCGGCAGGAACCTTAGTCTGAACATGTTAGAAATGCTAGCTGGCTGAGGTAAATTTTCGATACTAGCTTGCTGGCTAGCTGATTATTGAAGTAGATTTATTGAAATGCTAGCTAAGCTAGCTAATTATTGAAGTAGCTGTTTATTGAATCCAGAGCTGATTATTGATGTTGATTATTGAAATGCTGAATACTGAATGCTAACTAGCTCCATGTCCTATCAGTTTGTTATCAAATATGGCTATGACAGTACTGTATGTGTCTTCTCAAATATAGAGTAGCAGTAACAGATAAACCAGGGGAACACTCGGTTAGTTGTTTCAAGATGCAGTATAAGGTGACTCTACATCTCTACCTAGTCACAAAAACATGCAAAGTATTCAATCTAAAGTTCTCTAAGTTATTTTGTGCTAACATCTAAAGTTCTCTAAGTTATTTTGAGCTAACATCTAAAGTTCTCTAAGTCAAAGTATTCAATCTGCAGTATAAGGTGTCAAGTGACTCACAGGAGTAGTTGTGGGTGACTGAGGTGGAGGGAATAGCATCGGTGGCGGTGGCAAAGCTTGACCCATACTCGATGCAAAATTCTGCATGTATTGGAACATTTGGTCCATCCTCAACCGATTTTCTTCCTCTATCCTCTGCATCTACAAGTTCCTATACTGTCTAATAGGTGAAGATAGGTCCTAATCCCACCCGAAGATGTGTAGATGGGGTTAGTTTCCATGCTCTACTCCTATCCGAGATAGAATTTCGGCAGCACCTCCCCGCTGTTCTCCAAATACACGTTCTGGAAGGGAGATTGTGTATCCGGAGAACAACAGGGAGATGCTGCCAAAACTCTATCACGGATCAGAGTAGAGCATGGAAATTAACCGCATCTACACATCCTCAGGCTTTCCAAAAAACGTGGACAATTCGAAATAGATACGGTTATAGATATGCAAAGATCTGCATATTTCCAACTGTATCTCTTTCGAACGGGAGACGCCTAGCTAGGTTACATGATATATGAACATGATACAGAAAGAATAGTCTTTTATGCCTCACCTTGCTGTCCTGCAAAGTGACAAGTCGATGACGTTACAATAGCCTCTCCTGCAATAAAAGGAACATAATAGTGTTAAATCTAAATTTTGGCAGCACCTCCCCTGCACGGGGAGGTTTCCAAAACCTGCAACAATTAAAACGGCACGATGACCGACAACCACATATACTCGGCAACAAACGGCACGATGGCCGACAACCACATACATATCTTATACCTTGCAAAATGATGACAAGTTGTGGGGCGGCGGGAGGGCAAGGTGGAACCAGGCGGCAGGGCGGGGCAGGGAGCGGTGGCAAAAACCTGCAAGTTGAAGATAATAGAGAGTCAAATGCATCGGGTCAGTAAGTGTATAGCGAGATCATTAAAAGAATGACAATCATTGGCATGGAAATATGCTCAAGTTAATAGTACAACATCACTGTTTGCTGAAGTGATGTTGCTTGTATGTGTGTGCCTAGTTTTAACAATTTTGACATATAGAGATTGCAAGAGCTAGCTACCATGGTTCTTGTGCCTTATCGCCTAGGTAGCTTGACATCTAATGGTTACTAGTGCACACATGGTAAGCGTATATGACAAATTACAAATTACAAATTACAAATTTGTCGTCTTTAGAAATTAATTTAGATTGCAACTGGTGCACACATGGTAAGCGGAAGTGTCGGTTTACTCGGTTTTTTGTTTTAGGACAATATACTCAAGAAAATGGAAAGTTAAATCTCCGCAACTATTAGTTTCCTGTGTTGCATCATTTGAAGCGTCGCTTATTTATTATTCTATTTATTTTTTTCTTGATTTTCTTTTTTTCCTTCCCTCAAATTACTGGAAACATGTACGCTGTACCAACTTTACTTTTTTCAGCTTTTACTGTTTTCCTTATAGTTTCTCATTCATTGGATGCTTGATTTCCATATGTATTACTACCTTCTCATTGGATTAAATGTATTTGGCAACGTCACAGGTTGAATTTTACTTCAGCGATATCAATTTGGCTACAACTGAACATCTGATGAAGTTCACCACTAAGGATCCAGATGCATTTGGTGAGTTCAATGGTTAATTTCAAATGTAGTCAAATCCTTTTATCTTGGTTTACTAGCAAATAAATCATCAACAATAGGCAATTGGTTTCAATATTACATAATTTAACAGAAAATTGATATTAGAAATGGAATGGAAATTGGGTAGGGGGGGAGGGAGGAGGAGGCTCACTGGACCAGGGGAGAGTGCCGATCATGGGGCTATCCATCCAGGGGCGGCGGTGAGGGGGACAACCCGGCGGCGGGCCAGGCTGGGGCAGGGCCGGTGGCTGGGCGCCCGTCTTGGCCAAGGCAGGAGGGGTGTCACGCCGGGGGCCGGGAGGGGCTGGTGCGCCGGGATGGCGGGGCCCGGCGACGGCGGCACGGGAAGGCGGCGGCCCGGCGGCGGAGGGCGGTCCGGCGGTGCGGGGTGGGGGGTGGTAATCCGACGGCGCGGAGGGCGGTCCGGCGGCGCGGCACGGTGTGCGTGTGTGTACGGGTGAGTGTGTGTGAGTAAGTGTGTGGCCGGATATGGTAAAAACCAAAGGGCTTTGCCGAGTGTCCGCGATTTGGCACTCGCAAAGTGAAGGTATGCCGAGTGCCAGATTACGAGCACTCGGCATTGTTTTTTTATAATTTCCAACCGGTACGGTACTGGTAAGTGGGGCCGGCTTGGGTACGTTGCTGAGTGTCCACTATATGACACTCGGCAACTATATTGTTTGCTGAGTGTTGTACAGTTAACACTCGACAAAATAAATTGATATTTCATGCCCACCTATCCTCCTTTTTCATAACGTGTTTTACTAAATTTGTTACGATGTAATTTGAAAATACCTTGTCAAATTCACTCAACAATGCTTATTTGATTTTTCTATGAATATTATTCCATTATTTCATGCAATTATAGCTCAAATTCAATTTATATCAATTAAAATTCTATAATTGTAGTTAATAAATTAAAATTATCAAATGGATCTGAAAAATTACCAAAATTTGACGTGAACCAATATATGTTGTCTATTGCCTATACAAAAAGTTTTGAAGTCAAACCCCAATTTGACCGTCACTTTGACTCTAAATCTTACCGGATCTTTCTCAACGCTACGATTCTTCTTCGGAGATGCTTTGGTTTGTAAGCGTCGTACGTGACAAATTGTGCTAAACCTTCTCAATTTTTTATCAGAGCGTCCACGTATGATATCATGAGATTTTGACAAATCTCGTGATTTTCAGACTTCGTTTGTTTTTTTTAGAATTTAAAAACCATTCGGCCACACATTCGTGGTCGTGTTTCTTGAACAAAATGTTCGAAATTTCTTTTCATTTTCTGGGTAAGGCCTCAAAATGGACTCAATAACATGGATATCATTTTTCCACTTATTTTATTTCATTATTTGAATCACTTGCGGTTCAAATTTGACTTATACAAAAAAATTCCTCTAAATGCAATAAATTAGTTAAATATACCAAACAGATGGAGAAATATACCAAATTTTAACATGTAGTACCTCATGTTGTATGTGGAGAGTAGAAAAAGTTTGGAGGGTAAGAGAGGGAAAAAATTATTATTTTGCCGAGTGCCAATAAAAAACACTCGGCAACAATATTATTTTGTCGAGTGTCAATCAAAAACACTCGGCAAACCTTGTATTTGTATTTGTCGAGTGTCTCTAACGGACAATCGGCAAAGTTCTAACGGCAGGGCGGTGCACCCAACGGCAGTCACACGGCCGCCGCACGCTCAGCGCACGTGCCTGTACTTTGCCGAGTGTCCGTGTTTGCCGAGTGTTTCATTGTAGTTTGCTGAGTGTTTTTTATTAGGCACTCGCCGAGTGCTATATGTTTGCCGAGTGTTGAATTCAAAACACTAGGTAAATAGGATATTTACCGAGTGCCCGATAAAATACACTCGGCAAACCCTCAGACACTCGGCAATTATACTGCTTCCGGTAGTGACTGTGTTTGAATAGAAACTGCTAATGATCGGTTGCTACAACCATCTTGAGTATGAAGTGATTCCTTGTAGTTGGAACTTAGAAGTTGTGAGCCTAAGTGCTTTTGTGGTCGTTGTAATCGGCTGTGTACATCCGAAACGATGTAGAGGCTTCTAAAACACAGAAAGACTCATCATCTACTCTGTCGCTAATGCACGAGCTAGAGAGGAAAACAGCGTTCCTTGCAGTGCAAATGGGAATATAAATAAATAAAAAGCACCTTTAATAGATTTTATCAATACGCACACAAGCTAACTAAGCACAAACCACACACATGAAGATGGAGAAGACGGCTCTCGCTGTCTCGCATGAATTCGATCGAGTTCAAGCGAAGTGGGTTTCGGGCTTTCGGCAGACTTGTTTATCAACCAGCCTTCGATCTCGCGCATCAGCTGAAACTGAGTCCAGATGGGGCCCTCAGCGAACTCGCACCACAGCATGTCGATCACCGGCGCGTTGGAGAGCAGGAACTTAGCCAGTGCCCTCTGCGCGGTGCCGCCCTGGTAATGCACCAGGTTGATCTCCCTCACTTTGTTATTCAGGCAAGGGATCATGGCGCTCGGCGTCGCGAGAAGCGAGTGCGGATTGTAGCTGAGATGGTGCACGTCAATTAGCTCCTAATCGCTGAAGCGAATGTAGCTAGGATGGTCACCCGAGTCGTGTTCCTGGGAATGGAAGGCTAGCGACAGCGTCTCCAGGTTCGGGGCGTGCTCGAGGACCGTGCTCACCGCAGCGATAGCGATAGCTCCGGTGTCGTCGTCGTCGTCGGGAAGGCATCCCCTCATCTCGAGGTGGAGGAGGCTCGAGAAGGAAGGCAAACTTATAGGCATGCCCTTGTCGAGGCCTGAGCCGAGGCGAGCGGACTCGAGGTGCAGGTGCTTGGCGTTCACAAACAGTTGCAGAAGCTGCCTCAGGTTCATGGTGACCTCTTCTCCGCAGATATCGACCTTGCAGTACACGATCGTCGTGGAGACATCGCCATGCATGGTCAGGAACGAACCGTCGGTCCCGGCGCCCCTGTACTCGAACGCTTGTAACTCTGACGAGTCGACGGCGACGTCCGTCAGGTTGTGGCAGCAGCGGAGGGCCAACCTGCGAAGGTGGGCCGCGCCGACGAGGGAGAGCGCGGTCACCGCGCTGCAGGCCTCGAGCGTCAGGTCCTCGAGGCGCGGGCAGCAGGCGACGAGCCGCTCCACGTCACTCCCAGGGTCGGAGACGCGGGACAGGAGCAGAGTCACCAGGGACGGCAGGCTGACGGTGTCGGGCGGGGCGAGCCGGCAGGAGCTGAGGGAGGGCGATCGCAGGTGGGCGCAGCAGAAGATCACTCTTCGTTGCGGTGTACTCCAGCACACTCCATGACCACCAGTCAGAAGATCTCCCCAGATTGGGGAGCGGCACTGGAAGCGGGGGATGAGGTCGAGGCCCTCGGCGGCGCCCTGCTGCACGGCGTACGAGACCCACTGGTCCACCGTCAAGGAATCGCCGCCGCTATAGCTTTCCACGGCGACGCGAAGGGCTCGCAGGGGTACTGCGCCGCGTCGTCGTTGGCGGGCGATGATCGGCTCACGATGTTTGTAGAAGGGCAGCGGCGCGTTTGGGTCCGGGCAACATTGATACTCCGGGGTGTGGCAGACGCGGTCGTCGTAGTTGGGGATCGGGCTCTCTGGCTCCACGAGGGAGACGGAGTGCACGGCGGCGAAAACGTGGCGCCACCGCGACGATAGCATGGCCGCGCCCGCCGCCTCCTCTTCCGAGAGGAAGGAGAGGACGTGGCCGAGTGCGTGGTCCGTGAGCTTGCTCAGGCGGTCGCCGCTGCCGGAAGATTCGATTTTTCTTTTCCTGGTGAGTGCGCCGCCGGAGGACGATGCTGCGTGGGAGCTGTCCATCATGCTCATGCCCGTGCCCGTGCCCGTGGGATCACAAACCTCCTATGTATATGATGATATGATTGATTTTAGGGCTAGCTTCCCTTACTTTTATGGATGGTTCATAGATCAGGGTTGGTGCATTTACTTTGTCAATCAGAGTCGGTTTTTGGATGCACAAAATGCGCCACCAGACTTGGATGGCCGAGATCCATAAAACACGGATCATCGTAAGGTGAGATTGTTAGGTTGATCTCCACCAATTTGTCCCAACATCCAATTGGCCGTTGACTCACGCCCTGATCGGGGGTCCCCAGCCACTCTCCTGGCTAGTGGGCCCCCATCTCGCAGCGCTATGTAAAGGAGGTGGGAGCTGGAGCTCGATACACGAGGTTTACTGCAGCCGCCAGTGCCCCACCGAGTCTAACCCTAGTCCGATCTAGAGGGAGCGCTGTGAGCGACGGAAAGCTCCACCGGCCTTCACCGCCGTCACTGGACCGCGCCACCACTACGATGCTACCTCTACTCCGACACTAGAGGCGCGTCGCGCCATGCCATGGCGAGGTCTCCTATCTAAGTTAAGCAATTTACCATTGATCTGCACCTATAGGTTCCAGAAATCCTATCAATGGTATCAGAGCCGGGTTTTCTAGTGTGTAGATCTAGATCGGGGTAGAAAAGTGAAAAAATTAGAAGGAGATGGAAGATTTCAAGTTTCCCAAACCCTAACCCTAGATCATAGAACGGAGAGGAGGAAGGGACCTACCTGGGTTCTTTCCCCACCGTCACCACCGCCGGCCGTCACCTTGACGCCGCGCGGGAAGTCACCCCGAGCCGCTGCGGGCGGGAGGAGAAATAGTCTAACCTAACCCTAACCCTAGAAGGGGAAAGGATGAAAAAGGGAGAAACTCACTAGGGCTACTCCATCGCTGTCGACACCACCGCACGCGGGAAGAAGGACCTGCCACGCGCCTCGCTGGCACGAGGGAAGGAAGCGCCGCGCGCGCGAGCTCCGGCTAGGGCACCGTCACAGGACCGCTCGACGGCGGCGCACACACCCACTAGGGAGCGCGCACTCTGGCAAGGGGGCCCGCGGCGATGCCGCACTCCTCCTCCGTCTGCCTTGTGTGGATGCTGTTACCGTCGTCTTCGGACGCCGTCCATGAGAGTGAAAAGAAAAGGGGGGAGGAGAAAGTAAAGTTAGGGTTTTGGGGAGCTCCGTAGGCTCGGGGGTAAAGGGCGTTGCCACAAGGCCGCTCGACGACGGCGCGCTCACCCTCGGGCGAGCGCGCGCGCTAGCGAGGGGCCCCGCAACAGCGCCGCCACCTCTTCCTCCGGCTGCCACGGGCGGCCATCGAAGTCGCCACTCTCCGTCTCGACACTGAGGAGAGGAGAGGGTGGGAGAATGACGAATGGACCTAGGGTTTCCACGGGAGCGACCGCGGCACGTTTTTTGTTCGGGCGAGAAGCGTAGACGACCATCGGATCGGATCCAACGGCTGACGGCGGATGGGCCAGATTTGGCCTAGGCGGGGCAGCGGAATCCCGGCCTAGGCCAAAGTTGCGGCCTGGGCGCGGGGGAGCGGGCGTGCGCCCCGGGTGAAGCAGGCCGCTAGGCCGTGCTTTCGCGCGCTGAGCCGCGAGTGCGCGCGCTGGCGAGATGGGCCGGGGCCGAATTTTCTCGGTTGGGCCAAAATGAAGAGAGTAAATAGTTTTCAATTTTATTATTTTTCAAAGACAGTTTTAATGAATTTTATCAAGTTTTGATATTAAATCTCTATCAAAATTTGAACCAACGAGATAATTTTTTTAGAGAGTAGATGAGTAAGTGAAATACTCCTGAAAAGTAGATAAATTATATTTTTCATGTTTCTGCTGCAAAGTTTTAATGTTTATTATCTTCTAATTAAATTCGAACCAATGGGAGAATTTAATTTGAAGAGCAGTCATATTTATTCAGTAAATTATGATTATGTTTATCCTCTAATTTAAATTGGACGAGTAGTCCAATATGTTTAAGTCAAATTATGGTATTGTTATTTTTTAACCAACGTTGATGATAACAATATTATAATGTGTTTAAGTTTGAAGTTTGAATCTTTGATAAATTTTACACCAACGTGGTCAATTTTTCAAAGAGTAGATAAGGACCAAAAAATGCTTCTGAACCAATAGAATATATTTTATTACCATGTTTCCGCTGCAATGATGTTGATTATCTTCTAATTAAATTCGAACCAACGGGAGAATTCAATTTTGAAGAGTAATAATATCTCTTTTGAGATAATTTATGAGTTTTAGGCATTAATTCTATTTTCTGCCCAACGGTGATGTAGAATTAATGCAGAAGTACCTTGTATGTTTTAACCGACGAGATCACTCGGCTGCATGCCAACGGGCTGCAATGCTGGGGTATGTGAATGAAAAGGCTTGAGTCAAGCCAGTTCAGGATAGTTTTTTTTGTTAGTTTACTAATTTTCTGATTAAATTGAAATCAACGGGAAGATTTAATTAAAAAATGAAGTCTAAGTGAATGTTTTAGTCATCATGACTAAATTTTTCGTTACCGTAATTTATATATAGATTTATCCCATATGGGGAGAAGTTTTGGCATAGTACTTATGCTAGTCAATCCTACATGGTGGGAGAAGTTTTGTGATGACTCATATGTTTTGTATCCCGCATAGCAAGAAAAGTTTGGGTAGCTCTTATGTTGTCCTAGTATTGACCGTGGCACAATAGAAATGCATCGTTATGATCAATACTAACCAAAAAATTAAGAAAAGATGCAAACGTGACTTGCAAAAGTACCGCTAATGAAAGACATCGTTGAGTTCTTGAACTGAAATAAGGAAAGTGTACTCCTAAACGGATCAAGAAATAACTTTGTTTATATGACATAATCATGTGAATGAAGTAAGTTATAAATGTCTCCTCGTTTACAGGTTTTCTGAATAGTTCTCGAAATTATTGCAGTAAAATTCATGCCATATTTTGAGGGGGAGAATATTAAGATCAATTAAGAAAAATACTCTTCATTAAGAGTGAGATAAAGATCAATTAAGAAAGATACTCTTCATTAAGAGTGAGATAAAGATCAATTAAGAAAGATACTGCTTTGTGATACTTATTATGAGTTACAATTATGGTGGTTTTAAGAAAAATATTGTAAATTTAGAAAAACAAAACATAGGGGTTTGATGATCACCGTCTTAGAAAATCACTGCTGTATTATTTTCTGGGTAAAGATAAAGCTATATTACTCCCTCGTATAAAGAATCCTAGCGATTAGATTCTATTCCAAATATAAGGATTCTCGAGATAATGCTTGATTAAGGCCTTACTTTTGGTTTTGGTTGATCGAAGGGTACAATATGCATGCGTTAGTGCCTATGTATCTTGGTGATTGGTTGATGGACATCACAGTCATTTCTCTTCTTCCCTAAGATGTTCTATAAAAAGTGTTTGAAATTCCTTACTAATGTCCCAAATGGAGTAAATTATTAATCCACCTGGAGTGACCCTCTAAATACAGGATGGTGCTTGTGCATGCTCTCCGAACAGAGCATTGCCTCATTCTTAGTGCTAAGTTGTTAACTGAGCAAACTCATGGCCTACCTGTTGCGCTCTCTTCTGACATGACCTCGGAGAGAATACATATATTGGTAGGGTAACAGCTTTTGCCTCTGCATGATCGTACACTCGAACTCCATTTCGATCATTCTCATTGGACAGCCAGTAGCTGCCGAATCCATTCAGATACTTTCAAGGTTAAGTCCCTGTTTATAGATGCAAAGCATCTCCGTTACTAGTACTACACGTCTCTAGCGGATCATCTATCCTCAATAAATTACCCATAAATTGGAGGAGTTCATGATTTTTCTTCCTCCAGCACATCACCTTTTCCCATCCCATTTTATTGATGATCACTCCCAACTCAACTGCCTAATAGGCTCTCAAGTGATCAAGGAAGGTGGCCCTCTGTACAGCATGCTTGTGAGCACCTTCTACCCTGAAATCTTCCTTTATGGTTGATAGTATCCCTTCTTGCACTGCTCCTTTAGTAGAAGTAGATGGATCAAATCTTTTATTTAATTCTACACAAGCAAATGAAGTGCAAAACCATGTGCCTAGATGAAGGGAGACAAATCAGGTGCTAATCGTCACACAGCCAACCTCACCTCACCAAGTGGAATAGGAAATGTCAATAGAGCCGCAGAAAAGTACAATCCCTTTCTGGATTCTGGAACCCCAGCTGCAGAAACCAGTGTTTTTGCCCACAACGATGTGGTAGACAGGAAACAGGATCCCTTTACCCGACGAGCTAGAGAGAGGTTCGACTGCATGCAGTGTGCAGTCTCAACGCCACACCCTCTGTTGGATGAGCAGTCCCACCAACACCTATCCCCGATGACGCCCAGCAGCAACACTAATTTGATACATAATCCTAAAGCTAGCGCCGTTCAGCATAAAAGCAACCGGCTCGCAGAAAAGGCTAAAAGTAAAAACTGCAAACACACATTGCAAATTTCCCAAGAATTAGTGCAAAGACACTTTGCAAATTTCCCAAGAATAAGCCCAGGGAATCCCCGGGCAAAACAGTCACAAAATCTCAGGACGTTGATTTCTTTGTGCAGCACTTTGAGAGGCACATCAGCAAGGCAAAAGATGGAAGCTATCAAGGCTCTAATCGAGGTGGGAACCAAGCAACAAAAGAAGAAATCTGACAACGATGAAGCTGCAGTGGGAGAAGCAATGCTAATGGCCTGAGCACAAGCAGTATGCGAGTAGTGGTGACAAGCTAGGTGTGTTTGGTTGGGTGGTGACAACGGTTTAAAGCAACTCTTTTTAGATTATTTATATCTATATAATAACTAATATTAAAGAGGTATAATTTCTCTTTCATTTTTTTATCTGACATTTTCTACCTATTTGTGCCTGTTTTTCCACGTCTGGTTTTGGGTCTCTTTTCAATTCTTTGTCCCTTACTTTTCTGCCCTGACTTATTCCAAGTTTGGGTTTGCTTGTTG